ACTACTATGTAACCACCTACCTACATTATAGAACTAAGAACAGAGAATTCCACTTTTTTTAGCTTGTGCAGAGGAAAACAGCCTCTCTAATCCCATCATTGTTAAAATGTGTCTGAGGGAAGATTTTTACAGTGGACTATCAATTTTGAAGGCTACCTCATTCAACATTTTTTATTTTATGAGGTACAAATACATACTAAAGAATGAAGCACAGTGAGTAGTCACTGAAGTGAGCATAATGAAAATAACTAAATAAAAAACATATCTGAATCCTGAACATGTCCATGATCATGCACCTCACCACACATGCACCCAATGAGGTGAAGCAGTATACAAAAACATGTGAGACACTTAAATGTAAATAGCATACAATATGGTGAAATACACACACACACACACATTTTCTAAGCTGCTTATCCTTCTGGGTCGCAGGGGTGCTGTAGCCTATCCCAGCAGTTGTTGGGTGGACGGCAGGAAACACCCTAGACAGGTGGCCAGTCTATCACAGGGCAGACACATAGACATACACATTCACACACAATCACTTACACACAGTGGGGAATTTAGCATCTCCAATTTGCTTGACTCTAAGTTTTTGGACTGGGGGAGGAAACCCACACAGACACAGGGAGAACATGCAAGCCCCACACAGAAAGGACCCTCTTCACCCAGCCAGGAATCGAACCCAGGCCCTTCTTGCTTTGAGGAGACAGCGCTGCCCCATGGTGAAATACAACAAAACAATATTACAGTGTCTGAACATGTTATTTGTAAACATTGTAAATAAAAATAGATACGGACAGGCAGACCGATTAGCCTGGCATGTTTTCCTGCATTATAGACAATTATAAACAGTTTAAAAACATTTTATACAACCATGTACAGTGAATGTCCAACAGCCAGCATCCTAGAAGACCCTCTTATAGCAATCACATTATCTTTTGTGAATTTGGAGAAAATGTGCTCTCTGGTGTTGGATTAAATGACAATAAAGAGGCATCTTTTTTGTGACAGAGGGACAGGCAGTATCTATGGATTTTCACATTCTGGTAAACCAGCTAAATAAGCCGTGGTCCTGATAGTGAGAGGGATCAGTGCATTGCTCAGTTTTACACAGGAAAATAGTCACATAGCCACTGTTTTAATCTGGACAGATGTTTTTCATCCATGAACAAATGCAATGGTCACATTAACTCCCACAATAACACTATTGACTCCTGCCAGAAGCCAAGCACATAGCTGCCATTGTTTAGAGGATGGACAGGAGGTTTGATGTCTTCAATTCAAGGTAATAATCAACTTTCTTCATGAGGATTGTGGTGGGCTGTAGTAAGTTTCTGCTCTACACTCCAGTGCCCCAATCAAAGAAAAAGCAGGCAGGTGTTCTCCATCTTGTGAAATCATCCCTTATTACAACTTGAGCTATCTGGGGTGCTTTGGCCATGCGAACACTTGCTGCAGCAGTCCACCAAGAGATGCTCTGACTTGGATTGCTTGGCCGTGGTCCCATCAAGTCCACACCCAGCATGTACCCTGGCTTCACTACTGGGGTAGACTCAAGGTGGTCTGGCGGCTTGGTGAGACATGGTTAAGGAAGAAATTTATTTTTACGAACAGTTGGTTAATTAGGCCCAATGTTTTTGGTTATTATTTAGTCTTGTGTCTCCCCTTTTGCGTGTTGCTTTTCTTAATGTACAACAGTTATGCATCCAGAATCTTAAAAAAGAATAGTCATTATTTGTGTGCATTAATATCTGTCTGCCCCCCTACAGGTCGAGGGAGGAAACCCTGTAGGGTGTGCCTAAAATTGTGGCACAGTCTTTTGACCCAACACACACTTCTTCTGTTTTTCTGTAAATTATTTTTATAATAATTTTTTTTCATCTGGACATTATTTTTATTGTTTGGTGAGTCAAAAATTTTCAGTCAACAAATTAAACTGAGAATTTAATAATAATTGAACTGTATTCTCCTCACACTGCCATAGAATAGAAATTCATTCACAAAACCTATGTTAAGCATTTATTGCCAGTAGTTTTACAGGTCATAATACATGCCAAGTCATTACTTCAAGCTTTCATTTACTTTATTTACTCTACACATTTTTTTTTTCTGCAAATGTAAATGTGGTTGTTAAAAACAAACCACAAATCAAACACATTCTGCTTTTTAGAGTGACTTGTAAGAACAACGGTAAAAATAAGAAGAGAAAACTACAGAAAACTGGTTGCTGGATGCCTACTAAACAATAGTCATTTTACTATGTGGAATACTGAATATACTGTAATTTGGATGTATAAATATGTAAAATCTGAATAACAATTTAAAAAATTAAACATATATAAAAAATGCAAGAATATAGTTTACAGTATGGTTAGTAACATTTATTGGGACTCTTGACTGCCATAATTGGCTATAAATGTTTCATATATATTGCATACTGTATGTGCATAATTATTAGGCTTTTATGAGAGCACTGCCAAGCTAAGAAACCTTCCGAAACCAGCACTATTTTGGATTTATTTTGTTCTATATTATACATGTCTGTCAAGGCCTGTGCATAGACATTTTGAGGGCATTGGCTCAAGGGAAACAAGGGGAACATGAATGTGAATTAAGCCTAATTTAATTTACAGCACATTGCTAAAATTCTAATGAAGAGATACATTAACCCAGATTCACAGATAATTAAATGCAGTATTAAGAGTTTATCCTAAGAAATAAAGCTATGTTTGTTTTACTACCGTAACCAGAGTTTGAACCCCATTCTCCAGCATACAAGGCTGTTTTACCTGTTTTAGTTTTAGAACACCCCAATTTTTTGTTTGTTTTTATTGATATTTTGCAGTTTAATGTCTCAATGTACTTTGAAATTAAAGCATAAAACAAATCCAAAATAAAAACAAACAAGCAAAGAAACTATGGAATCATTTTAGCTACATTTTAAATTTTTAACTCATCAGAGTACACACTTTTTGCAGAAATAACAGCCAAACACACTTGAGGCATTTTGCTTTGCTTTCCCCATTCTGTCCAATTCATGCCAAATCTGCTTGATGGGGTTTAGGTCCGAAGACTGTGCTGGTTGTTCCATGATTTGAAGCCTACCATCTAGCTCTTGTTTTCCAAGGTAGTTCTGACAAAGCCTGGAAGTTTGCTTTTATTTATTGTCTTGCTGTAGAATGAATCCCTGATCAACTAGGCAATGATATTGCATTGTGCTATAAATTGGTGTGCTCATCATTTTGGTTCAGGGTGCCAGTCATTCTGTGCAATCACTGACTCTAGATCTAGCAAAAGAGCCCAGACCATCATACTTCCTGCTCCTTGTTTCACAGTTGGTGTTACAGACTGAGGAACCATCCTTTCACATACTAGACACCATACTTATTGTATTTTCCCCTTTGTGATGAACTGAAGATTTCACATTTTGATTCATTGGTCCATAAGACCTTCTTTGTGCCTTCAGAAGTCCTCTGGCATTGCTGCATGGCCCAAGCAAGCCTCTTTTTCTTATTTTGCCTTCTGAGCAATGGCTTTCTAACTGTCACTCAAACTGTCAAACCTGCAGCTTGATGCCTTCTTTTCACTCTTGAAACTGAGACTTGGTAACTTAGACCAAGGTGTTGTTCTGTGAGCTGCCTATAACGCAAGCTTCTGTTGGGTCTTTGGGTTAGCCATACCCAAAGTTTCTTCCAATTTCAAGTGTCTTTTGATAGAGTAGGAAACTACTCACTGACACCCTGGCTTTCTTTACAATCAGTCAGTGTGCTAAAGTCCTGTGTTGGCTGGCTTCTCCCGCATTAGCTGGCTGCTAACTCACTCATCATAGCAGCACTGATGCTAGCTACAAAGCTATTTTTCTTTTGGAAATGTTTGTTTCTAGTTTGGTAATGTGTTTTTTCACACATTAATTAAGATCTTATACTCCTCTTTTGTCTTTGTTTTGAGAAATATGTAACAATTCACTCTTTCCACCAGTCTCTTGGGAAATTGGGCAAGTTTTCAGTTTTAAAATTATGCTACATCATACCTATGTGAGATCAGTGAGATCCCAGATGTAGTTACAGTTGCTAGGCTATGAAGCACCAACTGGGTTAACCAGTATGCCTCAGTGCCACTCTGAGGCAGAGCAATGCTGCATCTCTAGTTAGTAAAAAATATCAAAGGCAGAAGCTTGCCGATTGTGGGTAAAGCATGCAAAACATACTGTCTAGAGGGTCTGTGACACAGTCTGTTCCAACACCAGCTTTTACAAAGACAGAGGGTAAGTATGCAATGAACAAATCTGAGGACACCTATAAGAATTGTTTCACTCAACTTTCAAAGCTTTATTTACTTCCATTGCTGCAGAACAGCTGCAAGTTATTACTTAATTACTTGTTTACTGAAAATGACCTTTTTATAATTCTGAAGTTCGTATTATTTTTAAGTTCAGCATATTATTCAGTTTTACAGCCTCTGGAAGTTTCTTGCTTACCTTTGTACTATTTCAGGTTATTCCTGAAATTAAGTAGCCCTTTATCATTAATCCCACAGGGAAATTCACCTCTGCATTTAACCCATCTGTGCAGTGAAACTGCCCACACATACACTAGTGAAAGCACACTTGCGCAGAGCACTATCCACAGGGGAACAGTTGGGGGTTAGGTGCCTTGCTCAAGTGAAATGTGAAAGGGGGCAGTCTTGTCCTGTCAGCTCAGGGGACTGAACGAGCAACCTTCCGGTCACAAGGCTGGTTCCCCAACCTCCAGCCCACGCCTGCCCCATTTCACAGTACTGCTTAAATGTCAATAAAAACTGGAAAAATTTAAGTGTTCTAAGGCCTTTGACCAATATTGCATGTTAAAAATAAAACTGGTGAAACAGTAATTTTATCTACAGGTTATTGGGTAACTTCTCTTTTTTTGCTTTTGGATATAGATCTACATGCTGTGTTTTAAAACATTTTCATGTTTCAATGTGCTGAAATATTGCCATTATTTGTTGAAGTAAATTCAAGCAGGCTATACTACTGGGTTAATGAAAATAGCATTAATGAGTGTTCTCTATAGTTTTTATTGTGATTGTGCATGATTATATCCAGTAACCATTCAGAAAACAGTACTGCTGATGGTTGCTTCCTCTTCATGTCCCATATTTTTTTTGTCTGCTTGGAAATTTGGACTGGAATGTCATTCATGACTCTTGTACATGTGAAAGTTTCAATTGCTATTCTTTTGTGTTTAAAACTGGACTCCAGAAATGCCATACACAATAAAAACTATAAACACCATCTATTAAGAGAATAAACAAAAATAAGTGGAAAATGTTGTAGCAAAACTAGATGTTAAACTGTGTCTGCTTGTGCTTTCTAACACATGTACATGCTCATTGCTGAAACTCGTCACCATGCCATCGAAAAAAACCTGTTCTCCTTAATCGTTGTCTGCAAAAACCTGGTCCTCTACATAGTCATTGGCAAACATAATGATATCTGTCATAGCCATCAGAATTAAAATGTCCAGATGAAAGTTATTTTTAACCTCCTCATTGTAGTTCTTCACAGGGAAGATGCAGTTCATTGGGACCCCCAGTCTGTCACTGCACTCCTTCATCTATAAGACAAACACAACAGAATTCTGTATGCTTGCTTTATTGTGAGGTTAAGAGTCACATTCGTATTACTGCTGTTGTATTTGTATTTTGTAGAGTTAGTTAAAAGATGAAAAACATATTCCAAATACAAATAATGGATCAAATTAATTTTTGCAATATTCAGGAATTTTACTATTCATTTATCAGTCTTTGTTTTCATTTTTATGCATGCAGATTTGCTGACGCTTTTTTTGTCTGGACTTGCTCCTTGATCCCTTTTTTAGGATCGCATGTACACATATGCAGAATGTGTCATGCCAAATGTAGTCACATGCCAGTGGTAGTTTAACATTTAATGTTGTTTCAGTAGTATTTTATAATACATTCTGAAATTGAACATGTTCCAAAAAAGGTATGGCAGATGAAACTTTACATGAGGAATGTTGTAAGATATTCAGAAAACATTTTCTAAATGTGTAATCGTGCTAGGGGATAAAAGCAGCATCAAAGAAAGGCCTAGGCCTTTATGAGAAGGAATGATTTGAGGTTTGCTACTTTCCCAAAAATATGCATCAGCAAATAGTATGTTTAAGAACAACATTGTTTAAGAACAACGTTCCTCAACAAGTGTTTCCAAGGATTTTAGGCAGTTCTCCATCCATGGTGCATATTATTATCAAAAGATTCAGGGAATCCAGAAAAATCTCTGTGTGTAAAAAGCAAGGCCAAAAACCACAGTTGATCACAGTGACCTTCGACTCCTCAGATGACACTGCATTAAAAACCAGCAAGCTTCTGTGATGCATATCACCACATGGGTTCGGGAATACTTTGATGATGTCCAGAAATTACTTCTCTGGGCTTGAGCTCATCTGAAATGGACTCATACACAGTGGAAACGTGCATTGTGATCTGATGAGTCAATCAGATTGTTTATCGAAATAATAGACATTGTGTTCTCTGGGCCAAAGAAGTAAAGGACCATTGTTTAAAAGGCCATCCCCTTTTCCCCCTCTGTTAATAGTTCCTCCCAATTTCTCAGTTGGTACGGTCCATTTTGTAATTGTTCAGGATGGCGTAAGCCAGTTGATGCACTTGTTGTGTAATGCCGAGTGTGCAGGTTCTTGGGTCGTTCTGTTGCGGCATCTATATTCTTTGGTGTGCGTGCATGTAAAGTAAGTAGCATTGTTGTAATGTTTTCACTTTAATATTATTTATAATGTTTCTTCAGTATGGTCTGTCTAGTTTGTTCACTCTGCGAACATTGCTTTAAGTTAAGTATGTTTCATGTCCCTCCATAGTTGCCCTTGCTAACTAGCCCATGCCTAAACCTAGCCAACTAAATGATCATCGAGTTTGAGTCACATGACATTTTATTATCGGTACCGTAATGTTTCCATACATAGACTCATAAGCCAGTGTTTTCCTAAGTTCTAGAGGACTCTAGCTGTTCAGTACTCTTAACAATCATGGCGAATATTCTAGTGCATAACGCTTGAAAGACTAGTACATGAGAGGCTCATCTCACTGTTAGATGCATCCATCGCCATCTACTAATCACGAAACCTGGCTCGTATCACCACTGTCCGTGTCGGAAACCACACACGTTTTATTATTTCATTGTACGTCGGAGTTCAGAAGTTCCCCTGTTCAAGTTGTGTGGTAATGGCAAACCCTTCAATAAAGGGATTAAGCTTATACTTGGACTTTTGATTCTGATCCGTCACCTGTGGTGGGCTAGCATTCCCAATCCGGTACATTAGTTATAATTGGGAATAGCCAGAGTCAGCCATTCCTTCAGTTCATGGTCCTTCGAGCCGGATAAGAGCTCACTGCAGATCCGTAGAGGAGGAACCCAGTGTGCGTGTCAGGAGGCAGTCATCCCTCCCATCACACTTTAAGGACTTCGACCTTACTGGTTTTAGGAGAATGGAGTTTGTCACTACCCACATTTCAACATGCTCCACCTTGTCCATGGAGTGAGGAGGAGGAAGAGGAAGATAACTGGTGAGCGCTCAGCATCTCCAATCAGTCAGGAGGGCAACCACCCTACACTGTAGCTCGTAAGGGATCAAGTGTCACTCGCTGGGGACGATCTTCACCAAGAGAACAGAAAATTCAAAGCTGATCAAGATGCCCTGCTTACAGCTGTGGAGGAGTTGAAACTACAGAACGAAACTATAGAACGACTCACAGAGCAGGCAGAACGAGTTCAAATTAGAGCAGTTCAACCGTCAGAGTGTTCTTGAGATGGAACAGTTACGGAGGCAGGTCGAGCACCTGGGAGCAGTCATACAGCAACTACAGAAACCCAGTTCACCTCCACCTCCTAGACCATCTAACCCAGTCCAGCGACAGCAGCAGAGGGAAGCACTCATGGAAGATGAGATCAGGGCACTCCATCTGAACACGACTACCCTCAGAGGAACGCCATGCGCGTCACTCATCATCCTGCAGGTATGACTATACTAGGGAGAGAGACTATTCAGCAGAGCGCTGCTATTTGCCATCACAGTCATTCCAGCCATGCCATTCTACAGCCCGTGAGGATGATTATGCACCAGAGAGGCATCACTTTGCAGAGGTGGACTATCCATCAGGGCATTACACAGTAAAGCATGGTTATCCATACGAGAGGCGTGAATTCACCCCTGTATGCCGGGGACCCACGCCTACTCTTCCGGATATGATTCACCCTAATCCAAGAGAGTTCTCTTGCCTTCGAATTGCCCTGGATAATCTCCTCCCCAACGACGCCTCAGAGAGATTCAGATACCAAATTCTCATCGATCACCTTAAGTCTGAAGAAGCCCTGCTGATTGCTGACTCCTGTGGTCACTCCAGGTATCCCTTCACCAATACTACTGTGGCACTCCATCAGCAATATGGACAGCCACACCAGCTGGCCCCAGCGTTGTTAGTGGTGACGGGAAAGCCTTCAAAATGTTCACCCTGTGCGTGCGTTCCTTGGTGAGCATGTTGGAGCAACTAGGAAGGAAGGGCAGAGTCAAACTAGAATGTGGCTCACATGTGTCCAGACTGCTCAGCAAACTCCCTCATGACCTGCGGTCCAGCTTTCGCAGATTCATACACCCTGACAGAGTGCCCATTCCTACTCTCCTTGACTTGGCCGACTGGTTAGAATACGAGATCCAGGTCCAAGAAGACAATTCTTGGTTCGATACCAAGGTACGGAGAGAGCCCAAACCAAAGGAGCAGAAGAAGGATCGGAAGCCCCAAGCAAATCCCTCCACAGTCCTGCTAAATACAGAGACTTCACCTCCCAGTGAATAGGTCCAAGCTCCGAGCTCCACATAGACAGCAAAGAAATATTGTGCGTACTGTGACAATAACAAACATTCACTGAACAACTGCTCTAACTTCAAACTTCTCAGTCTCACACAGAAACAGACCTGGATCAAGACGAACAACAGGTGCTGGCACTGTGGGAGAGGTCACAAAGTGGCTCTCATGCAATAGTAGACACCTGCTCACTCTACATGACATAAATGAGAGGGCTCAAGAGAAGATCTTAGACGACGGCTCAGCCGAACGTACCATCCTCCTCCATCCTGCAGCACAGCAACTGGGCCAACAAGGTGAGCCTGAATACCTGCCCATAACAACAGTTAGACAAGAGCCTCAAGTCCTACATGGGGCTGTAGTCTCCTTCACAATCTCCTCGGCAGCTAAACCACAGAGAGTGTTTCACATTAAGAGAGCTTTCACAGCCAAACAGCTGGGCCTGGCTGAACATATACACCCAGTGGAGGTCCTTCAGCGGAGATATGGCCACTTGCGAGACCTGCCCCTGCTGGCCTTTTACGGAAGCCCGTCCAGTCCCACTCATTGGCTCCAATCATCCCCACCTAATCACACCAGTGAAGCCAGTGCGCCTAGGGCCACCAGGAGGCCCAGCAGCCTTTATGACCCGCCTTGGCTGGACACTGCAAGGCCCAGCACACAGGCTAAGACAGTACCTCTCTGAACAGCCACTTCGTCCCCAGCAGTGGACCTCTTTGGTCAGGTAGAGAGGCTGTGGCGCAATGAGAAGGCCAGCACCTGTTCTCGACAAGATAAAGAGGCTATACATCTCCTCAAGACCCAGACCAAGAGAGTAGAAGTGGACAGAGTCCATCACTATGCCACATCCCTCCTGCAGGCACAGAATATGCCACAGCTACAGGCCCCAAAGGAGGCTGTGCTCCCTCAGTTGCGAAGTACGGAGAAGAGGCTAGCCAAGGACCCTGAGCAAGCAGCAGCCTACATAGCTGAAATTCAAAGACTGGAGAGAACGGGCTACGTGGTTAAATTGGAGCCAGGCACTGAAGACACACCTACCAGCTGGTACATTCCCCACCACATGCTCAAGCATAATGGTAAACATCGTGTCGTCTTCAACTGTTCCTTCCAGTTCAAAGGTGAGAACCTGAATCAACGCCTGCTCCCTGGGCCAATACTTGGACCTCCCCTTCTTGCCATGCTGCTGAGATTTAAAGAACATGCTGTGGCCATTAGCAGCGACGTCACCCTACCCAGGTGTTACACCAGCCCTGAAATGGATTTCCCAAGCAGTAAGAGGGAAGTCCATGTATTCTGTGATGCCTCAGACCGTGCCTATGGCTCGGTGGCATATCTCCGGATGGAGAGCCGCAGTGGCAAAGTACAGGTTTCATTTCTCACACCCCTCTCTCGTGTAGCCCCGAAGAAACAGCAGTCCATCCCTCTCTTGGAGCTATGTGCAGCACTGACAGGAGCACAGCTGGCCAGAGTGCTGAGGGAGGAATTAACCTTGCCCATTCACAACTTCACATTCTGGATGGACTCCACCACTATGCTCAATTGGCTGCAGTCAGACATCTGCAGGTTTAAGGTGTTCGTGGGCACTGAGATACAAGATCTCACTGAATTAGAGTCTTGGCGCTATGTGGACTTGTGTGGCGCTATGTGGACTCATGTGGCCCGTAACCCCGCCGATGATATCACTTATATATATTCCTTCAGTTCAACCCTCCTGATTGTTATCAGCGTTAAGTTCAAAAGTCATGGTAAGGCGGTATACTGGTGCCCATAGCAAGGGTATCCATGCCATTATCACTGAAGGATATATGTACATTTTGGAGCAACATACGCTGCCTTTTAAATGTCATCTTTTTGAGGCATGTGCATGCTTATTCCAAGATGTCAATCTATCCCCAAATATTTATTAAGTGCAACGTCAAAACATCAAATATTGTGTTTTTGTATTTTCTTCTATTTAAAACAAGTCAAACGGAATTCACTAATCACTGCTTTGAGACACAGCTACTGATTACGCTTGGCATGACATACCATCCTGTTGGGGCTGGTTCACAGCACATCAGGGGGTCAGAAGACCTTGCACTCTAAATTTGTTGACCATTAAAACAGCAGAAGCAACAGAGCCATCCCAGAAGCAAAAAAAAAAATGCATCAGCAAAATTCAAAAATTTTATGCAAAATGAATTCCATAGTATTTCACCAAAAAATTTTGCAAACTAAAACACAGAACAGATGGCTTTTTTCAAACTTGACAATCCCCAAAACATTATGTTGCATCAACAAAATTGCATTGTTCACTGCTTCCAAAAATATCAAATGTCAACATGAAATCCAAATTGTTTTAGCCCATTTGTAGCTTTTGTGAGATTGCAAAATAGCCATATGGCTACTGCACTCACCTTCTCTTTGATTTTCTTGCTGGTGTAGATTTTTTTCACATCCTCTTTGACTAGTGGACATGCTTGGTCCACCATGGGCATGATGACTACTTGGGGTATGTCTGTTAAAGAGCACACAAGCTGGTTGTGCATCTCAAAGTTTAATTATCATCTTTACTGTTGATGACACTGAAACATGAAGACTCACCTAAGTTACGAGCTTTTTCCCGAACAATTTTCATCTTCTTCATCACTTCGTCGGTCATCATGGAGATTTTGTCTGCTGGTAGAACACTCACCAGACAGTGAACTTTGTCCTTCAGGCTTGGGTTTCTGTTGTATTTAGGGTGTTCTTTGTCAAGTGGACAAACAGGATTGAACTGAGAGAAAAAAAATCAGGTGTGCTGATACACGTCATGTTTAGTGAAAATATGGAAACTAAAAGTTATCATCAATGACTACATTTCAACATTAACATTTATTTCATTAACTTTATTCAAAATATGAAAAGTAGCCTCAGACTTTCTTATACCCAACAAAGCAGAGACAGCAGGGGTTTTCTAATCACCACATATTCCTGTACTGTATGTGATGTCTGCTATAATGTAAACATGTTACTAAATCTGTAAGTAAATAGGGTGGCAGATTCCGACCATGTGAACCAGGCTCTAAACGAAATTTGTTTAATAAAAGTCAAATGCTTTACATAGAGCACACAGAACAGACAATCAAAAAACAATTTTATTACCTTATCTTAAATTGGTTTTAAGAGGGTCAATTCTGCTAAACATAAATTTCATGTATTGAGCAGGGTTCATAATCAGCAAATATTTTGGGTTTTGGCCAAAACAAAAGATTCATTAAGAACTGCTTTCCTAGCACATGAATTTTTCTCTTTATTTAATATCCATGACACTTAAAACTACCTCTAATACAGCACCACCCTGCTTTGCCATCCTGGGACATTGAGAAATCAGCAATTACCACATTCACTACGGACTATAAATAGTTATTTTGGACTATATACACTGTATATCATCTAGGACAAAATGTGCATTTATTTTCTTTTTTAATAGTTTTTAATAGTGAGTTGATGTTATTTAATTACACTTTATTTCATTATTTCTTTCTATGTAAATTACCACCCACACCCTAAACACTAATTCAGAGGTATTTAGATTCAGACCTTGAATCCAGTCTCCGGTCCTTGATTTTATAATGACTGGTAAGTATGAACCTAGGTGGCCAAACAATTAATGAATGAACTACCAGTGATTACAAAATCCATAACAGGAAACTGGATCTCTGGTGTAAGTCTATCATCAGAAGAGCATCAGAAGCCAATCTTCCATTTCTTGACTAGATATCTCAACCTAGCATTGACACTGACGTGTGTAAAACTCTAACAACACAGAGACACATTCATACACTACACTTTTAAAAATAACAATGTCAGAAAGGTTTTTTTTGTTTTTTGGAGCGATGCCATAGAAGAAACACTTTTGGTTTGTTAATGATTCTTTCAATGGATAATTTTTTTATGGAACGATTTTTGTAAATTAGAGATGCGAGAGGTGTGAAGATAGATCCTTTTTAAAGTTTAAGGAATGTCCATTAAACATACTTTTTCTAAGTTATTTCCTAGCACAGTATGTCCAAGTCGAGAGAAATTAAGCAACCTTTCTTTTTAGGAGTGTACCATGCCCCTAAAATGTCAGTGTTACTGCCAAGCTAAGAATGGACAAAATAATAGTAAATATATCTGGACAACAGCAGTCCTGTGGTCAGAAAGAGACAACAGGGGTTGCCATTCTCCCCCATGCTCTGTGCATTTTTTGTGGTTTTCCAGCTCTACACATCTAATCCATGTAAATTAGTTAATGAGTTGAATCAGGTGTGCTGGATGAGACAAAGCACAAAAATGTGCACAGTGCACAGTTGCCAGGACTGGGACTGGGACTGGGGAGAAAACAGCAGACAAATTGTCTATGATAACAGTGGGCTACAGTCTGTTATTGCACACCCATGAAGTGGAGCTTACAAAAAAGACATCCAATAATGGAAAGAATTATTTGTGCATTTTGGTGTGCAATTACAAATAAGGTAGGTTAACCTCATAAAATGGTCAGTGAGTTAAAGTGCAAGGTGTTTTTAATGAAATTGACAAAAAGTGTGTAAGATTACTGTAAACAGTAAGCATTTCATATGGTATTATATTTCATTACCTGAGTATACCTGATGATACTCAGAATATGACAAATAATTTAGGATGTTCATCAACTTACTATGTAACCATTTCTCACACGGCCCTCTAATATGCTGATTATATCATCTGTGTGGACCCCCTCTGAACTGCCTGGTTCCAGACCCATGATGTCAGAGAAGACAAATGGATAGTAAGATCCTGGTCCATCTTTCTTCAGCCTATAGATTTTGAACTGGACACAAAACACAGAAGTACATTCTAAGAAAAATAAACACCTGCTAAGATTACAGGGTAATAAGTCATTAGTGAACAAAAAAGTAACATTTCAGGGAAAGGAAAACACTCTTAACTTGAAATGTACGTTAATGTAAGAAGATTTGGCAACACTTCATTTTGAGGGTTCTTAACAGAGTATCAGTAACACATCAACAACATATCAGTGAAGTAGCAGTAATGAAGCGTCTGAATACATTGAGGTAAATATTTTGGAAGATGTACTGTTCGTACATTACTTACATTAAGACGATGTATTATTGGTATGGCACATGAACTTCAGAAACAGAATCAGAATCAAGCTTTATTGGCCAGGTATGCTTACATACCTGGCCAATATGCATACATACAAGGAATTTGGTATTGGTTACAGGAGCTCAGTGTACAGTAAATAACACACACACACACACACACACACACACACACACACACAGTGCACAGTGCACAGTAAATAACACACACACACACACACACACACACACACACACAGTCATACCTGTAAACCTTACATTGTGCAAAGTATATGGCTTAAGTTAAAGTGCTGAGTGCAGTAGCAGTTAAAGGGTGCATAGTGGCAAAGAAAGGGATCAATGAGGTAACAGTCAGATAAGTGGGGTAATAAGGCAAGTAAATAAGATGCTAGAAGAAACACTGGTCTGAGACGGTAGCTTCAAAGGATGGAATGTTGAGTGGACATGTGGTGATAGTATGAGGGAAGATTGGTTGAGGGAGGGGGAGAAATTTGAGAACTTGGGCTGAAGTTCTGGGCAGCTTCTGTCTGTAGCTAGAAGGCCAGATCCCCAAGAGACTCCAGGATGAGCTCAGAAGCTGTTGAGGTCTACGACTGAGTGATCTTCACATGATGAGGAGCTGGTTCTGATATAACAACAACTGTAGCCGCTTGGGAAGAAGACTATGCCAGTGGAATATGGAGATGCTGGATTCAGAATGAGGTTGGTCAGATGGCCTAGCATTTGGGTATCTGAGGCGTAGTATGGTTAGGTAGAGAAGTTTAGTCTAGGCAGAAAAGAGGTCTAGTAACATAGGCCCCTTGTATGGTGTTGGAGTAAGCAGTTTTGCTATCAAGGATGTAAAATGAGAAGAAAAATGGAGCAGATGAATTTGATTCTGTGTGACACTATGGCATGCTGCTTAACAGACATCCAGGTCTGAAACCCGTATGAGCAAGCCAAGGGCGACAGTAGCAAGGAAAAACTCCCAGTGTGGAAAAAACTTTGAGAAGAACCAGGACTCAACAGGGGAACCCATCCTCCTCTGGCTGACACCGGATTGTGAAGATTATGTTAAATTTGGCAGGCAAATGGGTTGGAAGAGAATAAAGCAGATTATATCCTGAATGGAATTAACATGGAGCAGGAATGGCTTTTGAAGGAGCTGGTCCATATGAGTGTTTATGGTCTTGATGACCAAGGCAACTGGATGATTCTCTGGCCACTGCAGGAGGTAGCTTGGGATGGAAAATCCTGTTGGCATTTGGGATTTGCAGAGCTGGGTTGCAGCATCTGATCCGAGATGGATTAGGCTGAGATGGAGCCGAGATTGGATGGAGGCTTGAGATAGAGGGATGAAAAGGGGTGGGGGGAGGATGCAGGACGAAAAGGGTGAGAGGGTGAAAGTGTGTGTTTGAGAGAGAGAGAGAAAGATGCTGGGGTGATGAGGGAAAAGAAGGGATGATAAAGGGAGGGGTTTGGATGATACAGGGAGGGGCGTGGATTATAAAGTGAAGGGGATGGATGATAAAGGTAGGGGGTTGGATGATAAAGGGAAGGGGAGGGATGGTATAGGGAGGATTTTGGATGATAATGGGAGGGGGTTGAATGATAAAGGAAAGGGGAGGGATGAAAACGAGTGGAAGTTGGATGGTAAAAAAATCCCATAGAAAGGGGGAGGTGCCTGAATCAGTAGATCCAGCATTGTAACGACATTAAATAATGTAACACTACATGGAATGGAATGTAAAGAAATCAAATGGCTCTATCCACATTACATAGGCAGTGGGGACAATGCAGTAGGATGGAATAAGTGAGTCCCCAGTAAGAACATACCCAGCAGAATAAAACTAAGTATGTAGGAAGCAGAAAAACAGACATACAAACAGCGAAAAAGGCTTAACAAAATAAAGCATTGCATCCAGCGGAGCAGATGCAAAGCACGTTACGGGACAGGAAGTTTGGCCCCATGCTAGAGAGAAAAGACGGGAATACAAAGGAGATGGAAAGACAAGGGCGAGAGAGAGGAAACTGGTGGCTTGTGGATTGTTTTGGAATGGCGTGAAGGGGTGATGACGTCATGTAGAATATGCGTTGGTGTCGTGAGTGTGGCTTCGTCACATGGTCTGCAAAACCGTGTGAGCTGAGGGTCAATTAGAGGGAGGGGTTTCAGCCATGCTCCTCCCCCGAAACTTCATTTATAACATAACTACATTTGTAAATCATGACAGAACAATGCAGTAAATTGTAAATTGTTTAAGTAAGCAAAGTTTATTACGTAATTTTACAGGTGCTCAATATGACCTCCTCCAGCTGTACAGACAACATCAACGTGATAGTCAAATTCATCCCATACTCGATCGAGCATGTCAGGTCACTGTACCCATGGCTCTTTCAATGCGATTTCGGAGATCATCCAGTGCTATGGAAACAAGGACGAATGCTCTGAGCTTTTGGAGGTTCACTGCCAACGAAAATTACGTTGCACAGTTATGACGGATTCGCTCTTATTGAAGTGGAGAACGCAAAATGCTTTCTGCTCAGGGGTCGCCCTCACAGACTGAAGGGAGCCATCCTCAAGTGACAATCAGAATTCTATGACTCCCTCTTTCAGTTGGTAGGTGATTGGTTCCAAGGCGCATCACGTTTGTAAAAATACGGCGCTTTGAAATCAGATGACTCTTTTTGAATCACCCTGTATTACTCTCCATGTTTCTTTTCACTTTACACTCATTCTCTTGGTGATGTAATAACCTCTCATGGCTTCTCTTACCACTGTTATGCTGATGACACTCAACTAATGCTTTCCTTCCCACCTTCTGACACCCAGGTTTCCAGTTGCATCTCGGCATGTCTGACTGACATCTCTTCATGGATGGCAGCTCACCACCTGAAGCTCAATCCTAGCAAGACTGAGCTGCTATTCATCCCTGCAACTACAGGTCCTCATCATGATCTTGCCATCTCATTCGAGAACTCACTGATCATTCCATCTGAGGATGTAAGAAGTCTTGGTGTGATTCTAGATGGCCAATTATAGTTCCCAGCTTATATTGCAAACCTGACTCTGGCATGCAGTATGCATGTACAACATCCGGAGGATTCAACCCTTTCTGACTCAAGAGGCCACCCAGGTGCTAGTTCAGTCTCTTGTTATCTCAAGGCATGACTACTGCAACTCGCTATTGGCTGGTCTTCCTATGCAGGCCATCAAGCCTCTGCACCTCATCCAGAATGCAGCAGCACGGCTTGTCTTCAATCTTTCTAAGTTCAGTCACTGTTATGCTCCCTTTACTGGCTTCCTGTAGCTGCATGCATCAGATTTAAAACCCTGATGTTTGCCTACAAAGCCAAAAATGAAGCAGCACCTCTGTACCTAATGGCAATGGTCAAAACTCGAACTGTACCTCCCTTGGAGCTTCAAGTACTGCTCAGCTTGACCCGCCATCCTTCAAGATGCGTGGAAGACAAGCATAAAGAATTTTCTCTGTCCTGGCACCCAGGTGGTGGTATGAACTCCCACTCCCACTAATCCTAACCCTAACCGCAACCTCAAACCAAAACCCAATCCTAACCCTCATTCTGGCCCTAATCCTGACCCTAACCTAAACCAAAGCCTAGTCCAGTTAAGCTCCAGTTACAGAATGGCGTCAGCAGTGCGTCTATAACAACTTGTTGATGATGTTGAGATGGTCTGTATTAAACCTGTTACATGTTCTGTGACCTCTCAGGTTGAAATCTACACAATGAATTTAGACGCTCCAAATATATTGAAAAACAACTGAATTTTATTCAAAAGTCTCTTGATAATCTACTGAATGTGTTCACTGTTGCTACATCATTGATATGTTGTTGAAGCTACTGAGAGTCTTTTGATTGTTTATTTAATCTACAAAGGACCACTGAGCATAACGTGTCACCGAAGAATTTATTCTAAGCAATTTTGGACTCATTAGTCATGATATTTTCACACATTGTCAGGGGCAACTGGAATTTTCTAATTATGTAATAAAAATGAAAACCAGCAAAAATGTAGATACAAGGTTTGTTCAGTCAGTGATAATATACTACACTATACTGTTCCTCTGAAAGTATTGGAACGACAAAAGCTAATTCTTTTATTTTTGCTATAAACTTAAGATATTTGGATTTGATATCAAAATATGAATATGAGGCAATAGATTAGAATTTCAGCTTTTATTTCCTGATATTTACATCTAAATTTAAAGAACATCCTTAAGATCAAGTTACTAAAGTACCAGGGGATTCTGTGAAGTGCATAGCAGCTCAGTTCAATGGAGTAATACACTCCTTGTTTTTTTGCAAATGACCTTCAGAATGCTTTGAAGGGGAAAAGTTTTTTAATCTGTAGCTGTTGAAAAGAATAAGAGTTTGAACTGAATATTCAGCAACCTTGTTTGTACCTTGGTAGTGAAGCTTTTACCAGTTGCCGAGTCAACCAGTGCAGCTGTTGTGTTGCGACCTTGAAGGACAGTGTTGACAGAGTTGATGAAGCTGGACTTTCCTGTTCCAATCGGGCCATGAAGCAGAACCCTGAGCTGATTGACGTCTGGCATGCTAGGCTGGAATTCCATCAGTTTTCTCAGCATCTGTTGTTTGTTGGCTTCACTAAGTAGGAAGCATACCAGGTAATTAGTTGATGCACTGGCATATCGGAAAATTAGTTAATCTACTTTGAGTAATATCAGTCGCTGGTCATACCTCCACATCACTGCCCTCCATGGTTTGTCAAATTCTGTGAAAATGAAAAAAATTCAATAGTATGAATGTGCATAAATAAAATTATATCTGATAATATGCCTATAGCCTGCTGCCTCCACGTAGATAAAAGTCACAAAATACATCTATTATTTCAGTGGAACTTTGGAGACCAGTTTGTGGACTTTAAATGCCAAACATTCTTGGAGTGAAAACAACCACATCATCCCCCAGGGGAATTTTTTTTTGTTCAATTGCTGCTCTTTGATGAGATTTACAAAAGATGAGAGAGCTGCAGATAATAATGATTGTTTTACCTTGGCACATCTGAGTATGGTGTGTGGTCATAGTTATTTCTATCATTTTGCTTTAAGCAATCCATAATCCATTGTCTTTAGCAACTCACCTTCGAGTGAAGGGTTACTTGCAGGTGATGGGGGAGACCTTAAAGGGAAACAAATAGTTCAAGGTATAATAGAATGGAGAGTTATATTCATTTGATTCACATGCATATCCAGAGGTGGGCAATAATGTGCTACATTTACTCTGTCACATATACATTGAAATATTGTCGGTTAGTTACAGCCTAACATCTCCTGTCCAATCATAATAAGGTCACATTGTATAGGACACTGTTTTACCAACCAAACACACAGCCAGTCACATACATACAGTGAACTAACAGTTGGTGTGAACTTGCATTCTGAAAGTGAAGTGTTGACAACCACAATGGCTGAAACCTTGGACTTCTACATGGCCACATGTTTAATGTTTGAGCTCCCTTGAAAACAATAATTTCTGAAGTTTGAGGAGTTGGTCATACTGAACATTAATTGCTATTTTATTTATAACAGTATACTCTGGATCTTCTCCAACAAGGGACAAGTGCTGCTTGCTGAACATAGAAGAAAGGCATCTGTGATTGAATGTAAATTTAAAGTGTGCACTGTTTAGATGACTACTTTTACTTCTATAGAGTAAATATTATTAAAATGACGAATTCCTAAATGACGAATGCTTTTACTCGAGTAACTTCGACCTACCTCTGATCACATACAGGGCACATTCGATTCCTGTCCAAAAAATGCATTGGGTTTCTCTTGCATTGTTGAAACATTGTCCTCCTGCTGCAAAAAAATGCAAAATTTGTGATTACAATATTGTTTTTGCTATAACACAAGTAGAACTTTCGGTTTCATTTTACTTAAATGTCATCTCTACAATTTTTCATGATATTTCTTATTAAATTGAACATTAAACATTATAATGAAATTCACAACATATCCAAAAGTATCCAGACACTCCTTCTAAACAGTGAATTCAGCTACTTTAAGGTGCACCCATTACTGACAAAGGCATTTAAATGTGTTTATAGCTCGATAGAAAAGTACTGACAATAGAATGGGATACCCTGGAGCAGCTGCAAATGAGTCTAAGGTCACAATGCCCCCAGTGCCAAGGATACAATGTCTCATACAAATTCGAAGTCTGTGACTTCTGCCAGAAAATAAAAGCTTGAAAAAGTTTTTCAGGTCAAAGAAACACCTCAAGTATTGGAATTCCCTATAAAGCCATAGTGGAACATAATGCTACATATCTATAAGCACAGGAACTGAAGTATTTAATTTTCTTTTTGGGATAATTTTGGTCTAAATTAAAAGCTTGAAAATTACAAATATGAGCAACAGTAAAGCAGCCCAGGTACGAAACCAACAGAACATAATGACATAACCCCCCCCCCCAAAAAAAAACTAATGGCTTCTCAATGTGAATGTTTAAACTGAGTAACAGTAGATTACCTCCCTCACAAATATACTTAATTATAAGCAAAGGTAATATAATTTGAAAATACTCCATCAAAATGTTAATTGAATACATGTATCTGAGTAATTGTAAGGTTACTAAACAATTCTGTTAAAAGGTTAATAATAACCCTGGATAGCTCTATAACTCTATAGTTACCTGAAGTTAATGATTTAATTAAACAACCTGCTTCACACAGTGAATTTGAGCTGCTTCCTAGTTTCATAAATAAAACCACAATAAAACTGCAAGTCTGATTGGATGAGCCACTGAATACAATTTGAGCACAAATATTTGATGTTATATTAGGAATAAAAATAACTGCCACACTGTCTGACTTTGATACTTACAAACATTTACGATTTCAGAGATTGATGCCAAACTATTTATGTTTTAATCCAAGACATGAAGAACCCTACTTTCACTTACCTTTTAGAGTTCTGAGAAATCGAGCTGCTCAGTCTGGAGAAGTGTTGGTAATCTGAGGTGTTGCATGTAAGAATGCATGAAACTTGAGCATCACATATTTTTACGTTGCTCAGACCGTGAGATGTTTCTCTTTTCCTTTCACCTATAACAACACGGAAGCATTATTTCTCAATCAACACAGAACATAGAGCAGCAGAAACAGGTGTGTCAGAGTCCCCACTTGCACAACTTGAAGTACTAGAACAGCAAGTGAAAAAAAAGAACTAATTAAAATCTAACATATGGTAGTTCACAGTATTGGTGTATACTGTGGCATCACAGAGAAGAAGAATCAGAGGAAGCCACAATTTTCTGCTTGGCAAAATGATTTTTATTAACAAACAGGAGAAAAAGTCACTACTTACAGTAGAACCAATAGGGGAGGTCACCACTGGCCATATACTCTCCATGGTGACCAACCCCCACACAAAACTATCCACAAAGGTGTAGGTTACGAATTACATTTACTCTAGTTACTGTAATTGAGTACCATTTTCCCTGTAACGGTACTTTTTGGAGGAGAATTAAATCATAGTACTTTTACTCTTAGAAAATAGAAGTTACTCACAACTTCATAAAGGTTCATTTTAATGAAATACTTCTACTTTGCTACTTTAATTTCCGTAACCAATCAAAAAACAGCAGCTCCAGCAAAAAAAAAGAGACTACAGAGATGTCCAGTTCAGTGGAGAAGGACAGAGGAGAAATGAAACAGCACACATGAGGAACAGACTGCATCCAAACGGGCATCTATATTCATTTACATGAACTAAAGAAAACAGCGTTATTATCAGCGGCCAAACATGAAACCTGCGGAGATCTGCTTTCACAGCTTGACTCCAGCCTGAGGCAGCACTAGCCGAGCTAGGTGATCTGAGGCTAAACTGGTACCGTGTTTGTGGTTTTCTTCTTTCCTTTGTAATGCTTCTGTTTAATAACTTGAACTATGTTGCGTATATTTTATTACGAGAGTCTGTCAACTAAGGGGCCGAGCCCAACTCCTGAAAAACAACCCCACACCATAATCCCCCCTCCACCAAACTTTACACTTGGCACAATGCAGTCAGACAAGTACCGTTCTCCTAGCAACCGCCAAACCCAGATTCGGCCATTGGATTGCCAGATGGAGAAGCGTGATTCGTCACTCGAGAGAACACGTCTCCTCTGCTCTAGAGTCCAGTGGTGGCGTGCTTTACACCACTGCATTTCCATGAAGCTCTCTACGCAATGTTCTTGAGTTCCTGAAGGCCACATGAAGTTTGGAGGTCTGTAGCGATTGACTCTGCAGAAAGTTGGTGACCTCTGCACACTATGTGCCTCAGCATCCGCTGACCCCGCTCTGTCATTTTACGTGGCCGACCACTTCGTGGCTGAGTTGCTGTTGTTCCCAATCACTTCCACTTTGTTATAATACCACTGACAGTTGACTGTGGAATATTTAGTAAGGAGGAAATTTCACAACTGGACTCGTTACACAGGTGGCATCCTATCACGGTACCACGCTGGAATTCACTGAGCTCCTGAGAGCGACCCATTCTTTCACAAATGTTTGTAGAAGCAGTCTGCATGGCCTAGGTGCTTGGTTTTATATGCCTGTAGCCATGGAAGTGATTGGAACACCTGAATTCAATGATTTGGATGGGTGAGTGAATACTTTTGGCAATATAGTGTACTTTCCCAAAATGTGTAGCTAGCTACAATTTAGCTACTTTTCCAGAAAAGGTAGTCGCTACTTTTTAGCTACTTTTTGAAAAGTAGTGCATTACTTTTTAGCTACTTTCAAAATGCAATTGTCAAAATGTTTATGTATCTCCACCCGACACATCAAACAAGCCCAAATGACAGTGTGAAAAAGACACTGCATTTAATCATGTGCCAGAAAGAAATATACAATTGAAAAGCTTCAAATATACAAAAAGATCACCGAAGAAAGTAAGTTTAAGTGTAACCAACAATCAAACTTACACAACCAAAGGCATATCCAAAAAAAGTTTGACAAAAGGCAAAGTCAATCATTCCGGGTATTTCCTAACAAAAATCAACAAAAATAACTGAATACAAACCAAACAACTTTGTGCAAAGAATTGTCAACTGTTGAAGTAAAACTGCTCCAATTTAAACATTTCAGCAAGATGTACAGACGTAATATTCAGAGCCCTTTGTTAAACTTCAGTGACACTTTAACCTAAAAATCCTCTAGCTCTGTTTGGGGTAAGACTCAGGCCTGAATAATCTCTCCACTGCTACAGAGCTGCTGTGGCTCCACAGCAGAACCAGATTTTTAGGTAAAATAACATAATCCTCCTTTGCTGTAAAATCATTATAACACACAATTCTAACACAGTTTTCCCAGTAAAGGGTCTTAAACGCTGGAGTTAATGTATAACTGCTAATTCACCAACCTTTAACGCTGAAGACTGATGTGCAGACTGCTGGTCACAGCAATGCAGATAACAAAAAGGCAAAGAGAGAGATTTAAGACGAACATCAATAATTTGGAGATGTATGGACTTATTGCATTTATAAGCGTTCAGCTGGATTCCTGATATGTTTAAACTCGCAAAGCTTCTCTTTCTCCAGCTTCTCGTTTGAAATCTCACGTTCCACCTTAAATGGCACAGCTGTACAATCTGGCACCTCAGGCACCATTTAAGGTGGAATTCGACAATTCGAACGAGAAGCAGGAGAATGAGAAACGACTTCAGTCTTGAAAAAGTGAACATTGAGAGACATTTTACACAAAACTCACAGAGAAGTTTCCTGAGATGCGACAAAAGTGGCTATAGCTGAGCTAAAGCAGAGCAAATAGTAAGTCTGCATTTGTGTTTGTTATATTTTTTGCCTAGTCTCGCACATTAGCAAATGCTGAGATATACTTACAGCCAAGATGGTAAAACGGACATAAAATGATTTGTCTCCCAAGGTGATTTCATTCTTGTTGAAAAAACAAAATGGTTCTTCTTAACATTTCAGTTGCCGACCCATGAGCTAAGCTTACTATAGTAAGGGGTGATCAGCGCATGCCTGTCGCTCAAACTGTCCGTGGCTCAGTCAGGATTGCACAGTCGCCTAGCCCAGTTAACGACCGCGTTCAATGGTTCAGCTTTTGCGCAAATTGACTGAAGCCAGTAGCGAAATTGTAGCGAAAATTTGTAGGCGCTACAGCTATTAGTATTACTCATTAAACTGTAGCGGCTACCGAGACTGCTGAAGGTGCTCACAGCACACAAAAAAAAAAAAAATGTAATTTGTTGGCGGGTCTACCTGCATATTGTAGGCCGATGTTGTGAGAAAGATTACTGTTTAGACATGCATCTCAATATTAATAAATATTTTAAATCTTAAAGCACTCTTGTAGGACTACAGAGTCCATGGACACAAAATACATTGATCAAAACTATTTTTCACATAGTTTCTGTTTTCACATAAAACAGGCCACATTGGGGTCCTCTTTTTCTTTAGGAAAATTGGAACCAACTATATCTAGATTTTAGAAACAAATGTGGTTACAATCTGATTAATATATTTTTTCAATTTTTAGTATAAAAATATTTGTGTACATATGAGAAAAATATATTAATTTTGTATATAACAGGGTTGACACTGTTGAGTTTTATGACATTAAATTTCATGACATTTTCCTTTCAGTTTACTCTAATATCAAATGGTAATATTCTCATTTTTTTGAAAGGCATCTCACATGCTTGTGACAAAGAACTCTATGGCACATTTTTGCAACAAAAATATTTTCTGACATGAAGATCTCAAATATCAGCCCATTTATAAATGTGTTAATCTTTTAAAACACATGTAATTGTAATTAAGTAAAGCTACATATAGGTGATAAATTAAAGGAAAATACAACATAAAGTGTATTAGTAAGGTGTTAGATCTCCACAAGCCATCAGATCAGCTTTAGTGCACCTTGGCATAGAATCTACAAGTCTCTGGAACAGTGCTGGAGGGATGCGAAACCATTCTCCCAAAAGCACCACACACTTCAAATCTATGTAAAATGAAATGCACTAAAATTCACAATTTAAGAAAACATTAGTGAATTTATTTTATTAAATTAATGATGAATGAGGTCCTCACCCTATCAAGGAAGGTGTTGTCTGCCACCTTGTAAAGTAAGCTTATTTCCGTTGCTTGTATCCACAGTCTCATTCTTATGGTCATAACCCACAGCTCATGACCATAGGTGAGGGTGGGGATGTAGACTGACCAGTAAACAGAGAGTTCTGCCTTATGGCTCAGCTCCCTCTTTACTGCTACAGACTGGTACAGCGACCGCTACTGCTTCAGCCTGTCCCAGCCTGCAGACAATCTCACCATCCTTCATTTCCCATCACTCGTCAACAAGACCCTGAGATACTTAAACTCCTCCACCTGGGGCAGGGCCTCTCCCCTTACCTGGAGAGGGTATGCCATCCTTTTCTGTGCAAGGACCATGGACTCATACTAGGAGGTGCTGAACCGCATACCAACCATATCACACTCAGCTGCAAAATGCTCCAGTGTGTGCTGGATGCTTCCATGCAATGGAGCCAAAAGGACATCATCCACAAAAAGCAGAGATGCTCCCTTTTGGCCTCCACACATAATGCCCTTGTGATGTTGTCTACACCTCGACACCTTGTCGATGAATATAATGAACAGGAGTGGAGACAAGGCACAACATTGGTGGAGTCCAACATGTGCATTGATCAAGCTTGACTTAATGCAGAGTATATGGACACAGCTCTCACTACGGGCATACAGAGACTGATTGTCCTGGAGTAGTGGGTCTGGTACCCCATACTCCTAAAGGACCTCCCACAGAAAATCTCGGGGTCATATAAGCCTTCTCCAAGTCCACACATGTAGACTTAGTTGGTAAACTCCTGTGCCCCCTCAGCAATCCACGCAAAGGTGAAAAGCTGGTCAATTGTTCCCTGGCCGGGATGGAATTCGCACTGTTCTTCCTCAAGCCAAGTTTCAACTACTGGATAGAGCCACCTTTTCAGTACCTTGGCATAAACTTTCCCAGGGAGGCTGAGCAGCGTGATAACCCGGTAATTGTCTGGTGAACAGTCTGGTACTCTTTCGTA